ACTAAGGAGAATACATATCACAAAACTAAGCTGCACTCAATTCACTTTTGTTTCTAAAATCAATTCAATATCTATAACATAACTATTTTTCATTGTCAATGTTTTAAACGATGATTTAATTACAAATACATACACGTTTCGAACTATGGAACGAGTTAAAATAATAACTAATTTGTATTATGTTGTTGAGTTATACTTAAATTGATGAAATTTGTGCCTGATTAAGAGTAATAGTGGTTGGCTTTCTAACAAAAGGTAATACAAGTTTTCCATTAGTTTGTCTTTTCTTGTTATCGTGATATATACACACTGATCTGCAGGTAAAGATTTAACTTGGAAAAAAGCTCAGTTGCTACGGTAAAACATATCAATTGTATATGAAATCATTAAAAACGGGGTTTTCTTTACTACAGTGCTTTAAGTTATATACGATTTTTCCCCTTAGTTATTTTAAATGTACGTTTATCAACGAAATAAATAAGTAAGCTTATCATTTGAAAATTGAATCATAAGGGTATATTATTTCCATCAGCGCCTCATATCATTCCTAGCCTTATAAACTTATAGAAAAAACATCTTTCTAACTAGCCTAGCCTTAAAGAAAGATATTTTTTCAAACTAAGAGTTTCAATTGAGTTATGTTCCAGAAAACAACGAGGAACGTGTAACTATTTCATACAACAGAGTTCAAGATCAAATTTTTCGCTTTAGTGTCCTCTCCGTTGCGAAGCGCGGTTACAAGCTAGTTGAAAATAATTGTATTTATTACAAGCCAAAGGTGTCTTATAGATTCCGAGTAAATTATTATAAACTATCAAATGGAGCATGTAAAGTGCATTATAAATAATCAACAAACCCTATCATAATTGACTATTGATTCAGTTACTGATTCGGGAATTACAATTAATTGCTGATGATAACTGAATGCTCTGACATGAAGCAGTGTTCTTCTTTACCTATAAAACAAGGTTGACACCTTTCTTCACTGATCACGTAATGCGTGATTTTCTATAAAGTCTTGGAAAAATAAATAGACTACAGGTGTACTGTGTGTGGTTTACACACAAATATTCATCAAACTGTGTGATAGTTTGTTATAGCAATGAACAATTTGAGAGTATCGTATTGTTTAAGTCGATGGAAAATCTCTGTTGATCCTGTTTTACAAGCAAACCAAAAAGATACAGTAGTCACCACTCTATGCGACATATTCTAGCCAGAAAATTGTAATCGTATGATTCTATAAGCATTGGTAGGATTGCAAAGTACTACACAAACATTATTTCAAGGGTAATAACAGTCACAATTTCCGCTGACTTTAAAAGAGTCAACTAAACTATTATACTAATGGACACACAACTAAATGGAACAACTAATGGAAATTCTCACGATGCACATTCGTTCGATATAAGCATTGAGTATACACGTCAGTACATACGTGTATACCCAATGATATAAGCAACGGTTCTTGCAATTTATTGCTTATTGTTTTTTAGAGTTGTTTTCGGACTTACTCACACTCGTATAAGGTTTTCCACGTTTGTCATTGATAATGTAGCCATGTTGCTTTGAAATGGCGACCATACAAAATGTATGCATTTTAAGCCAAGTATGGATGGAGATGAGTGTGGGATGAGTGGAGCGATCTTGTTGTCCTGTTTGTGACTAAGGCCGACATAATCCTTAGACACAGCTGTTAATTAATAGTGCATACAGTCAATTAATAGCAGCAGAGGTCAAGTTTGGTATCAAATTAAAGGTTTTATTCATAAAAATACATTGCTGCAAACCCAAACTCAAACGAGGATGATGATAATAACGTTAATGATGTCGCTAAAACGTATCGTTTGAAATTTAACAGCTGAAAATAAGTGAAATAGAAAAGGTTTTGGTTAAATCCATCAAATTGTAATTGGACACTAGTAAATACTAGTGCACTTGTTGCTACCTCCCCCCTTCGGTTTCATGTATTCCTCTCAATCAGTTCAAACCTAGGAGGATTAAACATTAATGTTAATTAATGTTAAATCAAACCTGAAACACCCAGATCGAAACTCGCCTGTCGTTATTTTACCATCGCCTGTTTTTTAAATATATTTTTCAAAAAAGAAATATTATATTGATTTACTTTGGATTTTAAAAATGTTAACGTTTTATTTTGTTAAAGATTTATGGTGATACGTAAATATTGTGGTGTAGTAGAGTATATTCTATTGTAGTTAAGTGTTAAATTTTGAAATTTTAGGGTGAATCGAGATGAATCTTTGTTTATAACATGGGTCTCTCCTACCTTAACATACATACCAAGTTTGATAAACATCGGTTGGAAAAGTGCAAAGATAAATATTTGTATGTAAAAAATACAAAATGGCGGATATCTGGTTAACGAAATGATTTTGGAAAAAATGTTATCCTTGATTTTCTGTTTATTTTGACCCAAGGAATTACTAGGTAAAGTATCTCCCCGCTTATTTTAACACCCTGTTTATGATGTATTCTTATAAGTGAAAAATGTTAGCTGGCAATAAAGAAAGATGTTTTATAAATAATATGAATGTACTGGTGATCTGTATATTCACCTTTTTCTTGTCCTTAGATAAAATAAATTAGATAAATTAAAAGTCCACTCAGCAGTCGCATCGTACGATGTAGTTCTTTCCATGCGTTGCGAAATGCTAAATTTGCCGTCCTCTTCAACCCAAGTTATCTACTGAACCACTGATTGTAAAAAATTCAAAAAAATATATTTTACGCATCACACTTTTGGCTACAATTTTGCCACAGACAAAACCTCTCTAACCCAAAAACAAACAAAAAATCTCGCATGCTAACTTTTTCATGTTAGAAATCACGATTTAAAACTATTTCACCATACAAATCATTTTTTATTAATTAGATCGGTAAATAGTTTAAAGTTCCAACAAAATAGTCATCGAGTAGGACTAACCAAGAAGCTCTGTGCCAAATTTCAAAATTTTAGCACAACTTTAAGAACACCAAAACACGAAATTATTGAAGACATGCGTCGAGAGGACTATCGTTGTTTTTAACAGATTATACTTTTGACCTTCCGGCACTGTTGACTCAGCGAAACTGAACTTATATTTGATCTTATTTCGTTATATTAAAACTGCTGTTGCATTAAGTCAAATTCCCAATAAGTCAATTGCTTTAACATAGACTAAACTTTTAGCCCAGACTGTACTATTTGACTTTCTGGGATTTTTGATCTACAGACACTGCAAACATTGTAGTTTTTGACCTAGCGGCACAGGTATAAATTATTTGACCTTCCGGGACTGTTGACTTTCTGCAACGCGTCCTTAACAAAGATTTCAAATACTAATTTTGTACTTTGTTATGCTTAAAGCATAGCAAATTCCCTAATTAAGTTCTGTATTTTTGTGTGTATGTCTGTTGGTAATGCATTAATGTCCTTATTTCTCAGTGTTTCACGGGAAGGACAAGAGCACCTTGATAATGAAAATGTCAACCCGAATAAAGTGTTAAATTGTGAGGTTGAGGTAGTACCTTAAATACTTTTAACCATTGTGAAAAGTAACTTTTAATTATATGCCTACCTCAGGGCTATGCCTCATAGATCTATAAAGCTTTTTTTTGGATTTAACATATGGACCAACAAGATCTGGGTGACATTTAATTGCGAAGCATTAGTTTTGGTTTGAAACTGTCAGATACTGTATTTGCGAAGGTTTATATATAATAGTTTTGTCAGCATATCTGAAATTATGCAAACCAACTGCTGTGCTTAATATAAGATGGTTTTAACTGACTACGATAAAATCCCCGTGCGTAGAAGGTGCTTAAGGTTTGATTTGATTTGAAATGAAAAGTTTTCGCTAGCCCCGCCTTCCGATTGTCTGTTGCAAGAATATTACCAATGGATTAGTTATTAATGGATGCGCAGTAACAGAATGAATGAAGTAATATTTTTACTTCTCATAATACAACAAAATAACGTGTAAATAAAACACATACTTAAAATTCATAATAAACTACAGCAAAATTATTAAAACAAAAGGAAAAGGCATTTTTGTTTTAGGCTACGGTATTTAATTATGAAGACATGAAGTCGTGTCGTAGTTTGATACAAAAGTAATATTCTTGTGGATAACCAAAAGGCATATTAACCTGCTTGAAATAATTCTGTTGGCCGACATTAATTAATTATTAGCTATGCGATACTACACTACAGCCTGCGGGCAGCGCTACTTGCCGCGCCACGCCTGAAAACTGAGATTTGGTCGCTCTGTTCAACCCAAAATTTTAACAAAACTATGCATGATAGAAGGAAAAGTTAAATGCAAATAGTAAAGTATATTTAATTATCTACAACTTTCTCACAGACAAAACTTCTCTGACCAACAAACAAAAATTTTAGTAGGCGACTAACTTTTTCACTTCACTTTTCCAAGATTTTTCTAACTTTTTAATTAAAAAAATATATACATATACTACCAAATAAAATTTTTATTTTCAAAACCAAACAGTGGCATGAAGGGTTTATTCCCTAGCTATGTACCAAATTTTATTCAATTGTAAGGGTGTAAAAATGCAGTATATTTAAACCGCGACCACTAGTTCCGTACTACCGTAATAGTGAAACGGCTGGGAGTTAATGCTCAGTGCGACGTTGCCAATTCTCGCTGACCGCGGCCTGTAGTTAAAGGAGGCTGTGGTTTAAGTGTGTTTCAAAGAATAAGGTCACAAATTAGTTACAAAAATAAACACAGCACTTTTTGAGTTAGTGGATGCAGGGGTACCAGTATGAAATGTTTGGTTCTTCCCATTACAGTTAATAGACCCTGGAAACACCACCATTATTAGGTGAAACACTTTATTTGTTTGGATTACTTATCTTAAAAAGTTTTTAAAATACAAGTTTTTACTTAGAAACTAGTTGCATATTTTATTGTTTCACTGCTACTTTTTTGTTCTATGTGTATTGATGACAAAAATAATCGTTTCCATTACTGTAGACTCTGAAGTAAGATCGACACTGTCCAGTCCAGGAACAAGTTACTTGGATCTCATAAGAGATTACGCAGCCAACAAGAAAACAGATCAACCTTCTGCAGAATCTGCTCAACCTGACAGCTATGACAATCCTGATCCGGCCAACTCACCGGTCTACCGTATTGTCACGGACACTTTGAGTTGCAACAACAACGCCTCAGAAAATCTTCCTACCTTGACAGCTTCGACTGACAACTTGTATAGAGATGTGCTCACTCTGGTCAACTCTGACTTTAAACTCAATATAGAAGAGAGTGTAGATATTGAGACAAAGGTGAGTTGTTTAATATTGCATGTGTAAGTAATTTGCTATGAAATAATTTATCCAAACATATTTACAAAATACTGTAAAACAAATAACTTAAAATGTTGAAATTGAGTAAACTGTGATGTCTGGACAGAACCAAAACTGTATAATTTGTTATAAACCCAAGTTTATATTTGCTTGAGCTTAATAGAATTTAGGTAATCCTATGGGTTTTCAATTAGACATAGATATTGTAGCCTCAGGGTTAGAACATAAATATTTAGAACATAAACATAGAACATAAATCAACGATGTAGAAAGAGCTGGTTCATAGAAGAATTGTGAAAAGTATAAATGACATCTCTAATGTAGTAACCATTGTAGAGATATTTGAAAAAAATACTTGATTAAATTATATTACTACTGGCTGAAATGGCCAGTTCATGAGGAGTAATAATCCTAGTGTTTTCTTGAAAAATTTCTGGAAAAAATCTAGGTACAGTAACCATGGAAGATAGATTTGGATATTTTGGGTGAATGCAGGGCCATATTTAGAATGTATGAGGCCCCCGGCGGCTCACACCAGAGAGGCCCCTCTCTACTCATCCTTTGGTGGCTGGAGCTTAGGGGGCTTAGAAATATATGTTTGATTGCTTCAACTCGATGAGCTTGACGCTTTGTTTTCGACTATCTGATCAGATAATAGGCTAGGAGACCTAGTAATAAATCATTCCTTTATACAGGTTCCATTCTATATTCATAATAATTATAATAATCCATGAAAATTATTACCTATAATTCATAATAATTATATTATGGAGGTCAGCAGTGGGTCTGACCTGTTTACTTCGGGTCATGTTTAAAATGTTACTTTAAGTGTTCAGGCTAAATTTAGGGCAGAAAAAATCAGGTTGCTTAGAAAAGCATGGATTTAAAAAAATATGAATTGGAATACTATAATTGGTTTTAAAGACTACTGCCATAGCATGAACACAAAACAAAATTTTAAATAAATTAAACCGTCCTCGGTCACGACGAAATTGTGAGCGTCCCCGCAGCGAAATCAGAGACATCTTCCTTAATCGCGAAAGAATTGTGAACGTCTCCTACATTCATGGCAAAATAATAAACATCTGTTGTTCAAAAGTTCATTGCGGACATTTTCCATCATGATGGTAAAAAACAATACACAACGTTTCGGGATCTGGAATCTGATCCTGTCCTCAGGTGGAAAAAAAAAAACTTAACTAACACATTACAACTAACAATACAGAAACACCCAACCTAAGTTGGAATATACTACAGAGGGTAGCAGTCAAAAAATATGCACTGCATAGCAGTCAAGTCATGGTACAACACGCAAATAATAACCAATCACAAAACACTATATAGTCTATAAAAAGGTGTAGTGTGAACACACTTTCAGTCTCATTGGTGGAGTCATTGCGAACGGTGCTATTAGTGTTCCATCGTGTGAGCTGTTCACACTACACCTTTTATAGACTATAGTGTTTTGTGATTGGTTATTATTTGCATGTTGTATCATGACTTGACTGCTATATAAGTGCATATTTTTGACTGCTACCCTCTGTAGTGTATTCCAACTTAGGTTGGGCGTTTGTGTATTGTTAGTTATAATGTGTAAGTTAAGTTTTTTTTTCCACCTGAGGACGGGATCAGATTCCAGATCCCGAAACGTTGTGTATTGTTTTTTACCATCGTGATGGAAAATGTCTGCAATAAACCTTTGAACAACATTAACTCACCATCACCAACAATGAAGTTCAAACAAAGAATTTTACAATCATACAATCTTTTACAATCATAGAGACATCTATGTTCATGACAAAATCGGATAATCCCCCATGTGCCATAGTCAAAACTGTAAACATCTTCTCCAATAACGGAAGAAATGTGAATATCTTTTGTGTCACAGAGACTTTATTTTAGACTGCCCTGATCGTGATTTTCGATCTAATAAACTTAGCAGACGATTTTGTTGATCAAATTTAAAAAAACTAGGCTCAAAATCAAACCACCTTCTAAATATCGATGAAATTATTTTTCAAGAGTATAAAAAACCGAGCTATTTTTTCAAACTACTTCTATTGTTGTTACTGTTTTAAAAAACTAAATTAGGCCAATTCTTGATTTCACCAATGGGAACGCCCCTGAACGCCAGGTTGAAAACATAAGTTCAGGGGCACTCTCATATTTTCATTGTTGATGTTAGCCTCCGGATTACGTTGAATATAAAAATTGGTGTAAATACCTGCTTCTTGTAATCCAAAATGTTGCTGCTATGACGCAACTAGTTTCAACTTCTCACAAAGTCATCTTCGGGCGTCCAGGGGATGTCAAATCACTTCATCAGAAGGTCTTCAATACACACATTATACGTTCATACACGAACATGGTCACGGTTACGAACACGAACACAGACACGAACATTGAAACAAAAAAGTACAATTTAACGAGTAAAAGCTAAAAATGGTAACACCGGTGAGGATGATCTGTCGCGACTGGATAGATGTAGCGTCTAGACTGCCTGTCAACGTGGTCGGTCGGCGCTGTGACGTCATTCCTTTGTTCTTGTTATCATTCAGCTGTCCCCAGTCATCCCCGACTCTCTCTCAAGTACTTTAATGGCCGTGTCATAAATATAATTAGATTGGAAGGATAGTTTGTCATTTAAAATATTATGTTTGTCAAATTTCACAGCTCGGTATATTTCAAATTCTTCAAGTGTATTTTTGTTAAAATGGTCGTTAGATATATGCAGTACGGACATGTTGCTGTCCATATTTGTGTAGTTGTGATTATCAGAAACTAAGTGTTCGGCAAAGGTTGATGTTTGAGCGGATGTTGTCTTCTTTGGTAGATGTTCATTAAATCTTTTCTTGAAAGAACTATTATTAGCTGTCTGGCCAATATAATATTTAGGGCAGTTGTCGCAACTGATCTTATAGACGCCAGTCTTGAAAAAAACAGGAGTTGTCGTCTGAGGCTGCTATTTCAACAAAGATCCAAGTTTGTTAAGGGTCCACTGTTTTGAAGGACACAGTGACGTTGTTTTTGGCCATGATGTTTTTAAATTTAGAACTAAGAGATGCACCAAATTCTGTTGAAATGTATGTTTTCTTATCTTTAATTTTGGAGGTTTTTTGTTTATGTTTAAGAATCAGTTTATCAATTAGAATGCTCTGATAACCATTAGCGACGGCAATGTGTTTAAGAATATTTATTTCTTCATTGTAGTCAGATGGGTTCATTGGCACTGAAATTAATCTGTTTACAAAGCTATTGTATGCAGCTATTTTTTGTGAATGGGGGTGATGAGAATCTACGTGGATGGTTTGGTCTGTGATGGTAGGTTTGCGCGTTTGCGGTATGTTTTGAAAGTGAATGCTGGGCCCTGTTTTGTTATGGTTATATCTAGAAAGTTCAGGCTACTATTAGTCTCCTCTTCAAAAGTGAATTTCATATTTTTATGGACATTGCACAGATAGTTGTTCAACAATGAAAGTTGTCTGCTATTGCCGTTGAATAGAACAATTAATTGTATCATCCACATATCTATAGTAAAACACTATTTTATCTTTGTAGCGGTTTTTAGCTGAAAATAGATATTCGTTCTCAAAATGGTTTAAGAATATTTCTGCCAAGATGCTGGAGAGTGGGGAGCCCATGGCTAATCCTTCTTTTTGGATATAGAAACCATTCTGAAATTGAAAATAGTTTTGTTTTAATACTAACTGTGTCAGTGACAATAGTTCACCAATGGACTCGGGAGGTAAGCTGGAATTTCGTGTTAGGTTCTGTTGCAATATTAATATTACCAAAGTTTCCTGTATAGGTACATTTGTGTACAAATTAACTATATCGAACGATGCTAATCTCTGGTTACCATTGATTTTGTGTGACTTAATCTTTTCAATCAATTCCAAACTATTTTTTAAACTGTGGTTATTTTCCAAAATTACGTGGTTTTGAATTATACTATCCAGTTTCTTAGCAAGTTTGTAGGCTGGGCTTGGTTTAAAGTTAACTAGAGGCCTGATAGGGATATTGGGTTTGTGGATTTTTGGTAGACCACGGAATATGGGGGCACATGGATTCGGGACTTTCAATGCTATTTTTTCATTGGGTGTGATTATATGTTTACTATTGGTGATAGCTTTTTTAATTTCTTTAGTGTTATGGAGTGTGGGATCTTTACTCAAAGTTTCAATATTATTATTGTTCATGAAGTCGGTAACTTTTGCTGGACGCCCGAAGATGACTTCGTGAGAAGTTGAAACTAGTTGCGTCATAGCAGCAACATTTTGGATTACAAGAAGCAGGTATTTACACCATTTTTTACTCTCATATTGTAATACTTTATTCTGAAATGGCGACCATATGAATGTAGGTAATTTAAGCCAAGTATGAATGGAGATGAGTGGCGTGATCTTTTAGTATTGTTAGTAACTAAGGCCGACATGTTCCTTAGACACAGCTGTTAATTAATAGCCCATACAGCCAATGGCAACTAAGGGACCTACAGTTTATAGTAGAATTCGAACCACATTTTTGCCTTGTAATTATTAAGGAATAGGTCTAATTATAAGGAAAGCACTGCGGATAGTCGTAGTACTCACTAGTGCGGACCTAAATCCACACCAGGGAGTATCACATCCACAGTGCATGCTTATAAATATCCACAATTCGTGACCTCCAAGTAGCTGGATTACAGGACGACGCCACCGTCCCAGTCTAAGGGTTTAACATCTTTTGTTTATTTTTATTTTATTTTTTTTTTAAATGCCTAGTTCAGTTTGTCTTAAAAAGCTTGATCTTAATATTTTCAAGCAAGAGCATTATTATTCCAATAAAATGTTTATCATTATCAGGATCTAGTTCAACACGCTCAAAGACTGTTACAATCAGTGGATGCAACATTGCTTGAGAGTGAGAGTATCATCAGCAGAGTGGAGCTACATCATCAGAGCACACCTGATGACAGACTCACTGCAACTATCCCCCTCCCCGATGATAGGTAGGTTTGATTTTATTGCTTAGGCCTACATATAAGTTACAATAGTGTTATCATCTCAGTGGATCCACATCATCACACCTGATGACAAACTCACCGCACTTATCCATCTGCCTAAAAAGATAAATAGTTTAGGCGAGAGCTCGCCGCGAGGTTGAAAACTTGATCAAAAGTATGTATTGTGCAAACTTCTCTATTTTCAACCCATGCTGTAAATAAAACATGTGATTGGAATTTCTTTAATTTGTTTTGATTTTATATTTTGTTGTTATTTCATCACCAACATAGCAACCAATAAGGCCAATGTTAATTTTATTTAAATTTAAAATTAATTTTTTGTGCCTTTTTTAATTTATAAAGGGATTCTGCACATCTTCAGAAAAATATCTTTCATTTGGTACCAACCGCGTTTAATTCGGTCCAGTAGTATGGTCAGGCTAGCTGTCATAACTTTTGCAAAGGTTTTTTAGTATATAAGATTACCTGCATATAACAATAATGTATCATCAGCAGAGTTGGGTTGCATCATCAGAGCATACCTGATGGCAAGCTCACCAACACTTATCTTTTTCCTGATGATAGATAATAACTAGACTGAATTTCATTTCAGTAGAACTTCAATTATCCAAATAATTTGAAACCATACCGCCAAAAATTTAGATTATTGGATTTTTACTGAGATTTAGGTTATTGTACACAAAATAGGCTGAGTCGAGATTTTACTGTTGCAATTGTAGATCGCATAATGCGAAGATTTAACAATTGAATAATTCATGCTTTTGCTGTGATCGTGTAGAACAATTATGATATCCAAGACTGCGAGAGAGAAAGATTGTGTCTAGTGGACCGACAAAGATATTCAAGATTTTCTCACGATTGTGGAAAACAATGAAGTTTGCAGGTTTGCTGCGGCGGGGATATATTTCTTTCTGTAAGTGATACGGATAATCGGCGATTCAGATAATTGGAGATTAATGTATTAATATGTAAGCTATGATAGTATCGTCCGGATATAAAATAGAGTATAGCTTCATCATACATCCAGCAGTGATTAATCTTCCTTTCTATGGGTTGTCAACAATTCCTGGAATTGCTCCTCTATTACATTTTAACACATTATCTAGTGTAATGCAATCGTGTATCCCAGAGGGTTGTATTCACTTTTGCTGTGTTGTTCAGGTTGACCAGGGACATTGATCTTCTTTCTGTGACATCCAATCACTCTAACAAGTCTCTGGACATTCCTCGACTGGTGCACAACCTCAGTTCCAAGGTAAGTGTTGTACTAAGGTACTATTTCAGTCAATTTAGACTTAAGTTTATATCTCAAGCAGTCGCATACTTTGTAAAGGGGAAAAAATACTATACTATATATATATTGATATATAGTATATATATTCATCGGTAAAGAAAATGTTATTATTCTTGATATTATATTTTATTGACTCAACTCTCACCCCTCTATGGTATATATATAATTTAATATTCCATAAAGGCGTGTTACTACAAAAAGTTGCCCCCTGGTGGGGTTTAAATGAATTTAATTTAATTTATGTAGAACCTGTGAGGACTTAAATCACACAGAGCCTGCACAGTGGAAGATTTGATGTTAGGAGTGTAGGCCAGTGTAATTAAATTACCCCATAGATCCGTATATGGACCGTAAAAGATCTGTCAACTGTCCTCCTCCAATCACCTTGTTGATCTTATTACTAACACTTCTTATATGCCAATCTTCTTAAAGTATACCAGTGATATGACACTCTAAATTTTAGAAAGAAAAATTATCTATTTGCTGAATGTTAGATTGATAGTAAATTCTTTAACATTGACAGATTTTAATGAGATATTTGTATAACCTTTGATGATGTTTAAATAGAAAAAAAATGCAAAGATAAATCAAAATGAATATGTTATAATGTTATCGGTTAAGCCGTTACTCTTTAAAATGTGTCATTCTTGAAAAAAATATATACTTAGATGAAACTGCAGGAGAATAAAAGATAATATTTGAAAAAAATGTATATTGTACTACTTTGTATTATAATATTACAGGTCAGACAGGCAATGAATGATGTGACTAAAATTCGTGGTCAGAGAGATACTCTATATATTTCCAACCGGAGGATATGATTGTGAAAGGCCTATTTTGTTTTATCAATCGGACCCCACTAACGTGTAATGTCCTGGGAAAATAGAGAGACTAATGATTATTGAGATCACCAGACTCCCCAAATATACTTTTTGTACAGCCGTCCGGTTGTATGTTATTGCAACAGGGACTTGTTTGCCAGTGGACTATATTACATTACCACTGCAATGTACAATACAAATGGGGCTGATCGACTTCTGAGTCAAATCTTTGATTGACTGTTTGTGTAAATTTAAAAATAGATTCTAATAGGAGTCTATCCTTGTGATCTTTAATGTTCCCTTATAACCTTCGACCGTGGACAATGCAACGTTTGTCTCTGAATCTCTCCTCTAAAATCACAATCAACCAATCGCACCGGAACTGTTCTTTTTTCATGGTGAGGTAGCCTCTGGATCACTAAATTAAAGCTAAATGGTTTATGTTACCTGGCTTTGTCAATTGATCCTGCTTCAGTAGTTTACTACTATAGTTTCGGACTTAAAATTCCATCTTCAGGTAGGTACAAAAACGTCAATAAGTCATCTAACCAATTTGGTTAGATTCGTCGTTACACTTAGAACACATACACAAATACGAAAAAACGAATATAATACTGTAAAAAACAGGCCAGTGTAATTAATCGGACACGTGTGGCGACGCCGGAAGATGAGTCATGACTGCATGTCAGATGTTTTGACGTTTTTGTACCTTCCTGAAGATGGACTTTTAAGTCCGAAACTATAGTAGTAAACTACTGAAGCAGGATTACTTGACGAAGCCAGGTAACATAAACCATTTAGCTTGTTCTTTTTTGATTGACCATCAATACAAGATATTTAATGTAATACAATGAATTTCAGCTGTGACATATTACAAAATTGACCTTTAACAAAGAATACAAATTAATCTTTTAACACAGCTATAGATTGATTTCAATTTAATTGGTTTTGTAAATTCAATTTACTAGATATTTTAAACTTCTCAGAATCCCTACAACAAAATTAACAATTTATACAATATTATGAACTTAATAAAAAACGAGCTGGTGGCCCGTCCTACGTACGGGAATCGAGTTGTCAACTAAAACGGAATAATTCAGAACATCTATAATTTACACGCATAGACACAAATTCTGGCAGTTTAAATGGGGAAGATCACCTTATAAACAAATGTAACATGACCACCTATTTATTCCATTCAATTATAGACCTGAAATATGGCGATATGCGTTTTAAATCCGATAATTTTACTATAAAACAACATTTGTGTCGATTTGAAGTATTGGCGACCGATACACACTGGTTTTGAGTAGAGTAGCTACATGCCACCTCCAATTGCGTACTGTACTACTTATGTACTTACCGTACCTTATCTTACCTACGGGACTACTGAAACTTTTATGAGGATTCTCTTCTATCACCTGCCTCTTGAAAATTTAGATCCCAGTCTGAGAATGCATTTCATAACTTGATATTTCCCGTCTATCGTGTGGTACTCCTTGGAATATACTTTTTTAAAGTTTATGCACAGCCTGTCTATCCAAGCTTTATCTACTTCTTTGGAAAGCATCCCTATATTTGGGTGTTAACACATTTCTCTTAGCTCTCTGTTCTTTTTATTTCGACCTCTGGGCCGCTTTCTTGAACTGGTCTGTATATTTTCTCTGCACTTTATTATCTAACCCAGCATTAAGGTTTTTCGGTTCTTTGGTCAGTGCCCAAGTTTATGAATCGTCAGTACTACGGGGATAGTTAGTATAGTATGAGTCGACTTTGGTTTCTGTTGCACCCTGCAGTTTATTTGACAGTTTTATAGAGACCTACTACACCGATTGACGCTTTCATTACTAACCAAAATTTTAGTATGCTGACATACTCACATTCAAACATACAGAAAAATAAGTAGGTATCAACACGTAAACCACTTATATCTTAAACAATTAAGCGATAAACTACTGAAAAAATATTTTGCAAATATGAGTTAAAATTTGCAATGCATAAACTAAATATTTACACAGATTGCATTTACGACAAAACTTGAGTAAACGCAAGTGTTTGAGATGTTTAATCAAAATAACACATTTCCTGATAACGCAGATCCTTCACGGTAGGGGAAAACTACCTACATTTTAAAGTGAAATAGTATGTAGGCAAACACCAACGAACAATATTTTTGTAAACAAACAACTCGTAACATAAACATTTCAATGACAGTTATAAACCAGCTGTTAGTTAAACCAGCATTGAAAATACTTTAAATTGCTAGCGTCGGCTGCTAGACTTTAAAAAAATTAAAACTTAATTTCAAAAAAACTGAAACCCTAAACTAAAATTATGGCTTCGACATTCCCTAGTTCTCAAAATTATCTTTCTTTCAACACAAAAATCATGAAAATCCGTCAAGTGGTTGATTCAGAATCGTGAAATAAAAAAACACTGTTTCGTTTTAATATTATAGATGTACAGATATTGAAGTTTTGAGAACATGTGGTATTAAAACCGTTACGGACCAACTAGAACAGGATATGCAAAACATACATGTACAAGAAATATGAAATAATGGCAGATTGGCAATACTAAATGACATCTAAAACACAGACAATATGAAAAATTTACTTACGTTTACAGGTCGACCACACAAAACATTCACACCATGGACGATTTAATAAAAAACTCTACTTGGAGGATTTGTCAAAAGCGGTAAATTTTCCGACAACGGTTCGTTACGATATTCGGTTGATCAAAATTTCTCAATTTATAATTTCCGGTATTTGTTTTAAATAAATTTAATGCTAATTTCAACGTTTGACAATCGGTAAAATTTGACAATTTTTGTCTGATCGACGCACGTGCAATTTATCCCAAATGTGATTTACCGAGCAGCGAATGAGTTTTTTGATGAAAACCAGAACTCCGTCGACACGACTCGACGTCCGACCTCCAAGTGGTTTTTGCACGCTTCTCTTCCTCTCATTTATCCAAACTTTTATCTATGTATCCCTCCGCGTTCGTCGTGATTGGACAATGTTGTCCACCGTTTTGGCTGGGATTTTGAGTGTTTCAATTAAAAAATCGGCACAACTTACATGTTCCTCTGTTGTCAGGGCTCATCTCTAGTCAGTTCAGTGGAGCCTGATGCTGCACCTCAGTGGTGTCAATTGGAGGTTGGAGGTCCTGGCATAGCAGAGGACACTGTTAGACGCTGGGCTGCTCAACTAGTGACTGCACTGCACGCGTTACATCAGATGGGAATCATCTGCAGGTGAGTTTAGTATCCCAGCCTAATCCAAAATTTAAGTTGTGGTTGTAATTTGTATAATCATACTGTCTGAGTCTGAGCTAAGAAATTTATATTCACTCAAGTTATTACATTCACTACCTGGTTGTGAGTGTGTTACCAAATCCCCACCCAGCTGTCACTCTCCTCTGCATTAATGTACTATCACTACCGGTAGTACTGCTGAAAATGCTTATACTGTAATTGTGTTCCAAATATGCTACACACACAAAATAATCAACAGATCGGGACGAGGTAAGCACACAATGAAATAGCAGGAACTGTTCTACATGCACAAGTAATACAAACCTCACGGTAAATGCTGAGCTCACATTAAAGCAATGAAATGCAAGTCAGGTAGGGGCTCAGATGCGTGCCTCACACATCTGGTGCTAGTGTCGTGAGGGGCAGATCTGCCACTTGCCCAGTCAAAGTGTTAAAACTTTTCTTCCAGCCGTCACACTCCTCTGCATTTAGTGCAGTAAAAATAAGAGAAAAATTCCATAAACCTAAACAAAATTAGCACAACCGGGGAATTTGGTACAGGTGTTGGGTGTACCTTCCTTTTGAACATACTAAAAGTCCCCTAAAATCGAAGCTGTGCTACGGACGCCATATTGGAAAATGGCGGCATATTTCTGTATTTTTCGCTATAGTGACTTTATTATTAGAGATACAGGAAAAAGCTAAATATACAAAATGTAGGTCATCTAAAAATGCAAATTTTTTGTATTCACCATCTTTCTCTAAACCCAACGGTTTTTGAGTTATTTGTTATTAAGTATATTTAGTTTTTTCTATATATCAAAAATAGGTGAAACACGTGGAAATTGACTGTTACTTTCAAGGATTATGATAATTTATCCTATTTAGTTAAATAGTGTGATACTATAAAATCTAAAAATTTAAGCTTATTTTATGAGTAAAACAACTCCGCCACAGCAAACCTACAGACTCAGCAAATTTCCATTTGATTGGATGTTTTATTAATTGTATTTAAATAAAATTAGATTCAACAGGTACCTAGGTTTGCTGCTACAGGTAGGTTATTATAGTGTGTGTTTTTTTTTTTTGTGAAATATCAATAACTCAGTATAAAATAATTAATTTTCCAAGTTTGATCATAATAAATCTGTAAACAAACAAACTGCAACAGTTAACTAATTCATAATAATAGCATGGTAGCTTAAGATTTACAATTTACAAATTTAAATATAATAATTTTGGTTGTGTTTACTAAAAATATGGCGATTATTCGTCACGATTCGAATACTAACCGAAGGGGTTTTCAAAAGTAGATGAAGCAAGTAATTTAAGTACTGTAATATTAACTCGTACCAAGTATCGGAAATATTGTATGCAGTGAGGTAATCAACCATATTTTGTAAACTACGCAATAGTCATAGAGCACATAGCGCATAGAGCAAGCATTCATCCACAAATAATGACTTGTGGTTTTCTGATGATTTATTACAAACATATTTTGATTCCCTTTACGGCAATATAAATGACAGACAGGATATTCTTCTTCTTGGACCAGGAGTGACGCTACAAATAAAACTAGGATCCTTGGATGATGTACAAAAACAGCTTGAATTGATGTCGTTTAGCTCTAAAAGGTTTGTCTTTCTATGTGTAAATGACAATTTGGAACTGCAATATCCTGACTCCGGATCACATTGGAGTCTTTTCTTATATGAAAGTCGAGCCTCCAAAGCTTATCACTGGGACTCAATAAGTGGATATAACAAAGCTGCTGCTGCAAGAATAGCCCATCGTCTAGGTATTAGTGAGCAGCATGTCCAAGAAGTGTCTTGCAACCAACAAAAAAACTCATTTGAGTGCGGCCTAAATGTGTTGGTGAATGCAAAACTTGCTTTGCTAAACATTCTTAAACACGATAGTATATTTCCACCTACTAATAGACTACGGGAACAGACTGCAAGTGATGCTACGAGAACTGATGTAGATGGTCTTAAGGAGAAGAATAGTCAGCAGCTGGCAAAAACCAAAGAATGCGCTGTACAATCCGACACTAGTAATTGTTCTATTTCTGCGAAAGCAAATAGTGACCTAGGAATTAAAAGTCTCAGTCAATGGCCATGTTTACCTCCTGTAACTACAATTAACAGATTTGAACCTCTCTCTGAATCAAGTAAAGGTACTACAATTCACCAATCTGAAGAAGAGAATGGCAAAACAGAAACTACTACAGATGAGGAGTTATCAAATGTCTCTGTAAATATGCCATCAAAAGGCCTACCGATTGAAGTGGTTAAAACTGATCCCATATATCTTAAAAGGAAACAAAACAACTGTCTTATAAATTCAGAAACAAAAAGTGTCAATAATAAGTCCCTGAAAAAAATACAAATCATAGGGGACAGTCATGCAAGAGGTCTAGCTAAAATGAGAGAGAAATTCTTTATTTATACACATTATTTTGCAGCAAATACATTAAGAAATAAAAATATCACATGGGTCACAATGACCTGTGCGTGATAGAGTCCTTACTGGCTGCTTCATCAAAATAAAAGTTCTTCACACTTCACTACACATAAAAAAAGAATAAAAAAAAAAAACAATTACTTGGTAAAATAAGCATACAATTTAATTTAATATACAATTATAATTATAACAACCTAATAACCATACACAATGTGCAACTCAATAACTTTTTTTTTTCAATTCCCAATTTTACTGAGGCGTAGATTCCGTCAAGTAAAGAGTGCTGTAGAAGGTACAATAGATAGTCCAGTTATCAGTTGGTTAGGTCTAAACGAGATATTCTGGGCTGATAAGCGACTCTGTATTGTCAAGGCCTATCTCCATCAGCCAATTAGCGATAACCCTCTTATATACACTCAGTGACACTCGCAGGTCCCTAATTTCTGAAGGAATATTACGCAACAAGCAATTAGCAATGTAAAAGGAATTTGTTAAATTGATTGATTTGAGAACTCTTGGTACCCGTAATCCTATCATCACTGAGTTTCTGGTATGATAGTTATGAACTACGGGCAAGGCGATAAGGTCCAAATGAATGTATGAATAAGCTAATAAATCTTTAACATATAGCTGCCTTATTGATAAAAGCTGAGATTCTTTGAACAAATGATCAGTAGAATAACGTCTCGGTTTTCTTAACGCAGCTCTAATTATTGATTTTTGAATTACGAACAAAGGTTCAATTACCGATGAATAAGCCCCTCCCCAAGCTATTAAACCATACTGCAGATGAGATTGAACGTATGCGTAGTAAATTCTTTTAATTTCGTCATGTCGTAAAATTTGACCCAATTGATAAAAAACATAAATCATTTTTCTAAGCTTTGTTTTTAAAAAAATTATATGGCTTTCCCATTTCAATTTAGAATCCATTATAATGCCCAGGTATTTATACTGCGACACAGTTTCAATAATTTGGCAGTTGCAATCGCTGCCTGCGGTGCCACATGAGTGCAAGGTTAGTCTGAGTTCGGCGGGCGGCTCGCTAGCGGGACGAAGTGCGATAGGCAAACATTTTGTTTTACTGACATTCATTGTTAAAATATTTTCTGAGAACCATCTTTTTAAAATTTGTAATTCTGATGATGCAATATTAAAAACCTCTTCCCAAGTACGTGCCCTAAAGATTACTGCTGTGTCATCTGCAAACAAGAATATTTTTCCAGAAATATCAATTTTATCTATGTTATTTATGTAAATTAAAAATAATAAGGGCCCCATTGTAGAACCTTGAATAATTCCAAAATCTACATTCATTTGATCACTAATTACGTTATTAATTGATACTACTTGAGTCCTATTGCTTAAATAACTTTTAAACCATGCCAGGGCTAAACCCCTTACTCCCAAATATTCTAACTTTTTGAAAAGAATTTTCCTATCAATAGAGTCAAACGCTTTAGCAAGATCTATGAATGCAATTAGTATTTTTTCATTTCTATTCACTGACTCGATTAATGTTTTATTGATAAGAAATAGTGCATCAGTAGTATTTTTACCTTTTCTAAACCCAAACTGTTGTTCTGATAAAATTCCATGTTCATCCAAATAATTTTGGAGTTGAATTTTGACACATTTCTCTAACACTTTAGATAATACACTTAACAATGAGATTGGTCTATAATTATTTTTGTCATTTTTTTGCCCGGACTTATAAAGAGGAATTACCTTAGCTATTTTAAATCTGTTTGGAAAAATGCCTGAAGTAATACTCAAGTTAATAAGATGTTTGAGAGGTAGTAAAATGTCTTGCAGATGATTTTTTAGTATTTTGGCTGGAAATTCATCGAACCCGGGAGCAGAACCGCCTCGCATTTCCCTCACACACTCAGCCAACTGACTGTCAGAGACAGGCTCCAGTCGCAGTTCACGCCCCTGTCCTACACTGAACAAAGCATCGTCGACCAGTGGCGGACCCACGGGCGGTGGCAACTCGCTCGCCAACCTATTACCAACACTAGAGAAAAATTCATTAAACGAGTTAGCCACCGCCCCCAAACCCCCTCCACTTGAGTCTGACGGTTGCTGGAAAAGTGAAACAGGAAAATTGCATCTCTTTATATTTGCTCCATTAAATTCATTTATATGTTTCCAAAATAATCTGGGGTTGTCAACAGAGGCTGTTATTTTTTCTCTGTAAAAGTTTTGTTTTGTAGTTTTGATTTTATTTGATAACTGGTTTCTAAAAGCTTGAAATTGAAATTTTAATTGCTCATCAAAAGGTCGGGCTTTAACCAGTTTACTCATTTTATCTCGTTTTCTAATAGCAAATATTAACTCTGTGTTTATCCATGGCTTTAATTTCTTAAATCTAGAGGTGGGTTTTATTACACGCATAGCTTTAAGTTTTAAACTAGAAAACGTGTTTAAAAAAGCGTCACAACAATCATTAACATCCTGATGTGCAAGGACGTGATCCCACGACTGGACCGCCATCAAGCCACTCAGAACACCCGAGTCCAAGTACATGTTGCAGG